AGGGGGGGGGGGCGGGGGGGGGGGGGGGGCTCGCGAGACATCCCGTCTTCGCCCGTTTTGCTCCCAGCGGCAAAGCCAGGGCGGTTTGGGTGTCGGGTGCCTTTTCGTGCCTCGGTTTCCCAGCCCGAAGGCACGGTGGCAGGACGGGCGGTTTGCTCGTCTCGTTCCCCGCGCAGAGGCAAAAGGCGGTCAAGGAAAGTCAGTTTTACCCTCCTCCTCCTGTTTTCTCCCCCAGCTGCAAAAAGGGCCCCCAAAACACTTGGCCAGCCTGCGCGGTTTGGGCTCGCGTGCGTCAGGCCCGGGGTGGCGACGCCGGGACCCCGCCTGCCCGATTTCGCTGACGCCGCGTGCTAAAAACGATCCTCTGTCGTGCCACCTCCTCCTCCCGAAAAGAGGGTTTATCTAAAACAGAGCAGCAGGAAAGCCCCAGAGTTCAACCAGGAGCTCAACCAGCCGCCAAGCGACCTGCCTACATCTCTTGTTGCCGCAGGAGGTCAATCGGCTGCTCAAAGGCGGTTTTGCAAGGGAAAGCAATGCAAAAAGTTTCCCTCTTACACCAAGATGCGCCCAAACGTCCATTGGAATTAGAGCAGGACGCGTCCAGCCCTCCGTGCATCCTTGCGCATCCGCCACCCCCCATCCGGCACAGCTGATGCCAGCTAATCATCTTTCCCACCTTCCTCAGGGTGTGAATCATTATCCTAAGGACGCCTGGAAAGCTCCTTGCCAGATGAGGCGGGCCCACGCGCCTAACGATGGGCGCCATATGGGCGAGGGTGAGCGTGGGACCCGGGCGTCCCCACGCCGAACAAAGAGGAGCGCCGCCGGCTGCGAAGCAAAGAGCCTGGGCGGCGCGGGGGCCAGGAGCCGTCCGGGTTGCACGGGGCGCCCGCCGCACGGGTCCGCGTGCACCGCGCGCCTCCTTGCCTTTCCCGTCCTTTCTCCCATATAGCCCTTTGGAAAACAACCGTCTTCTTCCCCGACCCTGAATTTTGGGGAGCAGAGCTCAGCGCCTTTGCCAAACCACCCCCTCCCTCTGCAAAAGCACCCATCGGCTTTGGCCCACTGCAATTGCCAAGCTGTTTTCAAGCCCCCAAGTAATTGCAAGAAGCATAATGAGCTGCTGGGCACCGTTTTAGTAATTAAAATTGTTGGCACTGCGGCCAGGTGGCTTTGTTACTGTCAGCACCCGTTTTGGGGGAGAACGGGCACCATCAGGCCAGGCAGCACCTCAAAGGGAAGCGCTTCCCTCCGGCCGAACAATCGGCTCGTTCTTTGCTGGGTTAAAAGAAATAATAATAAAATTAAAAAGCGGGGGGGGAAAAAAGGGCCCCAGTGAAACTGGGAGTCAAGTTTATTTACAAACAGAATATGAAGCGAAGAGCTGGGAACAAAGGTGTTATGTAAGGGACAGTCACTAAGGGGCTCTTTACCCACACTAATTGCCACTTGCTCCTCGATACCCATTTACGGTGCAGCTGAACCAGCCCCCGCCGGCTCAAGCACCGCTCATCTGCGGCGTCGCTCAGCCCAATTAACGGGCGGAAGGAGCAGCCACCGCCGTCCCGCCCCCCGAAACGCCTGC